TGTGTGTGTGTGTGTGTGTGTGTGTGTGTGTGTGTGTGTGTGTATGTACTGCCCCTTGTCTGTGTGCTTCTCTTCACAGGCTGGAGAAATGTAACCTCACTGAGGTCTCGTGTGAAGCCATTGCCATCTCTCTCAGGCACAGTAAGCTGCTGACCCACCTGAGCCTGGCAGAGAACAACTTGAAGGATGCGGGATCGAGGCATATCTGGCGTGCTTTGGAATATTTAATGTGTCCTTTGCAGAGACTGGTGTAAGGCTACAGATATTTTCTTTCTGGAACTCTGGGCAGGGAAGGGGGGGTGACCAGGAGACACTCTTATGGACTCACTTATGCACTGTGTTAAGTGTTGTGACGGGTGAGTTTTTTATAATATGGAGTCAGCGGAGAAGAGACTCTCAGTGAGTGGCTGTCTAGATCAGACAGTGGGGCTTTGAGCCTGTCTGCTGGGAGGCTGTCTCGGTGGTGTTCATTGATGTGAGAAGACTCGGACTGAAAGTGGATGTCACCATTCCCTAGGCCTGGGTCCTGGACTGTATGAAAGAAAAAGTGAGCTGAATACAAGCATGCATTTACTCTCCTCCCCACTCCCGTCCCTTACACACACACACACACACACACACACACACACACACACACCGCCACTGTGGATGTGACTAGCTGCTGCAGGTTCCAGCTATCTTGACGTCCCCTGCTATGCTGAGTGGTGAGCTGAAACAAAACACAACAGCGGGGCATTGTGTTTATACCGAGGGTGACGTTAGCATGCCGGAATGTTGACTGGCTTGACCTTGTGCAGATCTTATGCAGGTAACCACAGCTGCTGTGAGATGGTAAATGGGTTCACGGTATAGAGGAAAGTCGTTACTATTTCCATTTTGGAGGCAAATGATCTAGTAGCCAAGTCCTTACCCCAGTCCTCTGAGGTGAGATGAGATTCCAGACTCAGGCATGAAGCCACAGAGTGGAAATTTTCTGATTTGAGCTGACATGGAGGAGGAGTATCAGATATTTATCACTGGGGAAGCTACGAGTTGGAGGTCTCTGAGTCTGAACACTAGATTGCATTAAATTCCTCTTGGCCGGGTCATGTATTCGCAAGGCTGTGTTTTCAGTGATGGTGCCATGGCAACAGGAATCTTACAAATTAAATGAGGCAGAAGGGGCGACCTGAAAATAATTACCAAGGTGTTAAGGATGGTGCCAGGCAAGAATGTTTGAGAACCCTTGAATTTATGTGCTCTGTCTCTGAGAGCAGAATGATGCCATGAGACCTGGCTTCCTGCCTGGGGAAGAATGTCTTGTTGCTAGCACGCTGCTGTGGGCCGGAATGCACTCTAAATGATACTTTGTTGGCCATTTATCTCACACTAGCATGGATTCCTTAGATGGCTTTCCTCAGAGTCCATATTAGTCATTTTCTCTTTGGTGTAACAAAATGTCCAACAAGAAGCAACTTGAGTGAAGAAGAGTTCATGGTGTTTCATGATTGGAGGAGAATGTACATTCTGTCCTGATGGGAAAGGCATGGCGGCAGGAGCACCAGGCAGCCTGGATCTGTAGGCAGAAACCACAGAGCTGACAGGAAACGGGGCTATGAAACCTCACGCCTCAGCTGACAAGTTTGAGCCCAGGGACCAACGTGGTAAAAGGAGCTAACCAAGTTCTGTAAAGGAGGTAACCAAGCCTTGCAAATTGTCTGCTGACCTCTCTACATGTGCATTTATGCCATCACCACACACCCACACACATCACTGCATCCAATCAATGCTGCCTATAAGCACGTGAGTGTGTGGCCATCCGTTAGAGCCTTGGCAACCTACTAGTGACCACACACCCAAAGGAAAACGGCTCTCCCTCTCCGAGCTGCCACCAGCTGCCAGCAGCTCTTTGGTTAGGGGCGGGGACTTGTGAACCCCTCCCCACACCGTGGTGGATTTTTAGCTTGAACTTGTGCAGGTCTCACGTAGGCAACCATAGCCGTTGTGAGTTAATGAGTGCAATAGTTACATCATGGCCAGAAGGCAACATTCCACAGCACTACCCCCCCCCCGCATCTTCCAGTTCTTACTCTTTTCTGCCCCCTCTGTAGATGAATTTCTAAACAGTCTTATTAAATAAGAAACACAGAGCCAAATACGGGGGTGAAAGCCATAGAGATCAGAGAAATAGTGAGAGCCACCAGCTAACTTTAGCTCACCACGCCGTAGCTTCTCAAGAGAACCAGCTTCTTCCTGTCTAGCCTGTGCCTTTATTGCCTTGCTGTTCTGCCTTCTCATTGGCTCTTACCCAGCCACCTCATTTCCTCATCGCTGCCTGTCTATACAGACCTCCAGGTCTCTATGGTTGGTACTGGGATTAAAGGCGTGTGTCACCACGCTTGGCTGTGTCCTTGACCACACAGAGACTCTGCCTGCCATGTGATCAGATTAAGGGTGTGTGTTACCACCGCCTGACTTCTGCTTATGGCTGGCTATTTATGTCCTCTGATCTCCAGACTAACTTTATTTATTAACATACAAATAAAATATCACCACACCGCTCTTCTACCATGTTCTCTGAGAGGTTAATAAAGATGTCCTCTTTACCAAAAACATGGAAGAAATAAGCACAGTCCAAAGGTGTTTTGGGGGGTGTTTCTTTATAGGCTGAGGCAGTGTTCTTTGACTTCGGGTTGCTGTAAGTATATGGCATCGGCTCTGAAGAACAATAAAAACCTGAGAAGTCTGGACCTGAGTTTCAATCAGCTGAGGGACGATGGGATCATCCTGCTCTGTGAAGCAATGAATGATGCTGACTGCGAATTGTTAATTCTGGAGTGAGTTGCCCCAGGTTTCCCCTCTGAGGCCAGGGGGCTTCAACCTATGTTCTCTCAGGGTGGATTATAGGAGTTTGTCTTTGTCTTCTGGGTTGTTCCTTCCCCTCATAAGTCTGGAGGCTTCAGAATGGTCCTTCTCGAAATACATGTTTACCTGGAAAATGGTTAGCAATGTACATTCTGGTGGCCACCCAGGATTGCTGACAACTCATAAAAGCTGCTTCTCTAGAGCCCCATGCACAAGTAACTCCTAGAAAACCCCACTAAAGAGTCTCCTCAGCAGTCATCACCACCTATAACAAGCTTAGGGAGGGACCTTGTGAGTCTTGTAAATATGGGGAACTTTCTGGGCCTTGTAAGTTTACCAGGCTTTGTGAGCCTCCCTCCTTCTCCCTTCAGGAGGGAATGTAGCAAACAGCTACAAGCACCACTCTTACATGCTGGCATATTATTTTTCAACACATCGCATTTTTCTCTAAAGCTCTTAACCACTGAATGCTCTCTTCAGCCCCCTCGACTTTTTTTTCCCCAGCAGGCAAGAACTCTCACTGAACTTTAAGCTTGCTGTTTCAGCTAAACTAGTTGGCCAGAAAACTCCCAAGAATCTCCTTGTCCCTACCCCCTAGCACTGGGGTTAAGAACACCTGCAGCTATGCCTGCCTGCCTTGTATAAAAGCTGCTGAGGGTTTGATGCCTTCCCGGGGAGTCTCTCTACTCACTGAGCCATCTCACTAGCCCCTCATCCCTATCCTGGATAACCACCTGCAGACACTGATGGGTATCAGGGACTTGCCCCATGCTTCAGCTGTAGCACGACCTGGGGCTGTGCTCTCTGGGGGAGCTGAGCCCTCAGACGGTAGGTAGGACGTGGCAGTCACCCTTCTGTCTCTTTGTGTCCCGCAGGTTGGAAAAATGCAACTTCACCTCCATCTCTTGCCACGTTCTGGCATCCATGCTCTGTAGCTACAAGAAGCTGAGGCACCTGGACATAAGCAAGAATTTCATCGGGATGGAAGGCAGGGTGACCCTGAGCCTGATCTTCAACGGCAAGCAGGGAATACCGGTGGTGGCGCAGTAAGTTCTGTGAGAACCAAAGGAGCCATGTGTCATAATAAGAGTACCAGAGACTCGGTAGCACCTGGGAAGAGGTTTATTTATTTATTGACCTTAAAGAAAATGAAGAAAAAAAGCCGGTATGCTAATTTGTCACAAAATAGTGTTTAGCGTAGTCTTGATCTCATTTCTCTGAATTCCTCAGTGGCTGAGTTCTCCAGAGAGGTATCTTCCCAGTATCTAGTAGAGCTTCCTCCCTAAAGGTTCAGGACACAGAGCCTCATCTAATGTATATCCCGGGGTTCTGAGTCCCCTCTTTTTGTGATGCCAGGTCAGGCTTGTGGCCAATTTCCAGATCGTAGAATGAACTGGGAGCATCTAGACAAGCAGGTACCCGCGGCCAGCTAAAGAAGGCGAGGCCTTGGCCTCCTGTTTATAAGCGGTTCTCTAGGGAGCCCTCTCTAAACACCCGTCCTAATGAAAATGGACTGCAATGCTCTATTTTTTACAGATCTCAGTAGGCTTCCCTTGCATAAACACAACTCAAAATCTCCCTGTGGAGAGTGAGATGTTAGCGTGGGTGTGGCTGGAAATCTGATTGGTTCCTGGGGACTCCCAGTCCCTCCCCTTCCTGTGCTCTCCGAGCTAGCCTTCTGTCTAATGGGAAAAGGGTCTGGGTCCTCCCGACTGCTGTGTTCTCGCTCTTCATTTTTTTTTTCTGGTTTTTTTCCTTTTGTTTCTATGTAGCCCTAGCTGGCTTCAAACTCACCCTCCCCCTGCCTCAAGCTCCCTGAGTGCCAGGGTTATATGGCATGTACCAACATCTCCTTTTTCTTCGTTCCTTTTCAAATTGCAGATTGAGTTTTTGCTTTATTATTATTATTATTATTATTCTGCTCACCAGCTATGTGACTGTGAATAACCTCGTTTGTTTTTGTTCCACAATGTCCCTGTCATAGGTAGGATTTGGGTGGGTTCTTCATCCATGAGATTTCAAGAATATTCCAGGGGATGTGCATATGAGGCAGTGAACACTATCACGCTGTCATCCCTGGGTGGCTGTGGGTCCGACTGTCATCGTGCCTGGTGTATTCAGTGCCCATGCTAGGCAGCCAATTACCTCACCTACAGCAGTGAGCAGACTTTCTGATGAACGACAAGAGCTGTGTGCCCAGCCATTCAGATCAGAGTCTTTCACCGGGGCTCAGTGAGGCTGTTGGCTGGGATGCGACGGAAGCCAGGAATCTGCTGTTCCCACTTGTGGCCATTGGCCGGAGGCCCGGGTTGTCCCCATGACATTGGCTAGTTTCTTCCAGAATGCATGACAAGAGAAATGCACAGAATCACAGAGACAGACATGTGGAAACAGACACAGAGAGAGATGGATACACGCAAAGATACCAAGAGAGACAGAGAGAAACACAGAGATGCAAAGAGACACAAACACAAACAGACACAGAAAAAGACACGTTTAACAGAGACTCATGGAGGCAGAGATACAAAGACTGAGAAAGGCAGAGACACAGAAGGAGACAAATGGAGATAGGATGCATAAACACGTAGACAAAGACACATAGGGGGAGAGACACAGAGAGACCCAGAGAAAGATGGATGGACATGAGACATGGAAACACGCAGAGACACACACACTCAGGGAGACAAAAACATGGAGACAGGGCACACAGAAACACACAGAGGGACCGTGGAGGTAGAGACTCACAGATGTGCATAAGGAGACATAGGGACACAAAGAGTCACAAAGAAAGGAACACAGAGATACATGGAAAGAAAACAGAGACTTACACACAGAGAGAGAGATACCCATGGAGACGCAGAGACATGCGGAGGCTGTGTAGATGTGCATAGAAACATGTGGACAGAGAGTCGTGTGTATAGACTCACAAAGGTACGCACAGAGAGACAGAGATACAGGGACTGAGAAACAGATGCATAGAGACAGAGAGAGCGGCAGAGAGCTAAACAGTGACGCACAAAACACAACACACAGAGGAGGACAGAGAGGCAGGGAGAGAGACACATATGTAGAGACACACAGAGATGGATGGGGGACATGTAGAGACACAGAGAGACAGAGATGCAGAGTCATTTGCAAAGAGACACACAGGGAGACAGACACACAGATATAGAGGTAGAAAAGAGACAGAGGGCCGGGCGGTGGTGGCGCACGCCTTTAACCCCAGCACTCGGGAGGCAGAGCCAGGTGGATCTCTGTGAGTTCGAGGCCAGCCTGGGCTACAGAGCGAGTTCCAGGACAGGCACCAAAACTACACAGAGAAGCCCTGTCTTGAAAAAGAAAGGAAGGGAGGAAGGGAGGAAGGGAGGAAGGGAGGGAGAGAGACAGAGACATACATAGCAAAGAGCCAGAAGGGAACAGACTTTTATAACTTTCAGTGTGCACCCCATACACCTGCTTTGTTCTATTGGCCACTCAGGCCAGCCCTGGCTGACCAGGATGTGAATAGCAGGATAGTCCCTGGGCTATGGGGGGGTGGGGGTGCTCGGAGAACACTGCTTACTATGTATCCCAAGTAGGTGGATCACAGGACAGGACTCCAAGCCCAAAACTATTTCATTTGTTTGTTGACATGGCTTCATAATGTAGCCCAGGCTGGCCTCAGATTCATAGAGATCCCCCAGCTCTGCCTCCGGGGAGCTGGGATTAAAGGCTTGGGCCACTGCAATGGCCAAGCCAAAGCCCTGTTGGTGTTTATTTGACCCTAGCGTCAGGCTGGTCTCCTGGGTGGCAACTTCCTATGGTAGAGTTTTTTGGTGGCTTTCCTGGGATTGCAAAGGAATCTTAAATGTGATAAACCAAGCCGTGTTCCATGCCCTTCCCAGGGAGAAGAAAGAAAATGAGAAAGTGGACATGTACACGAGACTAAAGGGTCCAGACGCAAAGGATGGCCCGCTGACGATCATACAAGACTGGAACTCTCAAAGCCTCAACACACCATGGAGGCAAATGCAGCCAGATACCCACGGAACACATTCTTTCTAATTGACATGGGATGCCGAGGCTGGCTTGCAGGTCCTTCTTTGTCCGGAACAGCCCAGTCTGTTCTAGGGTAGGGTGTGGGCTCGGCCTCCACAGCCCCGTCTGAGTTAGGGACTGTCACTCTGTTCATATGCCGATGAGACTCTTAAATGGGACCCGGTGGTAAGGAGGGCTGGGAAATTTCTGTTTCACATACTGGAGTGCTGGGGGAACTGAATTAAATATGTGCAGCATGAAAAAGTGTTTGTTTACCAGTTGCCCGGCACCGGCGCTATGCAGAAGAAAGAAACAAACCTGTTCCTTGTCTGAAAGTTGGTTGCCATAGGAGATTTCCAAGGAAAGTGACATCAGGGTGTTTTAGAAGGACACAGACGCAGATCGATATAGAGCTACACAGGCAGAAAGATGAGAGACAGAGAGAGAGACACAAAGAGCAACAAAAAAATGGGAAGACGTGTAAAGAGACACAACGTAGGGACACAGACAGAGTCACACAAACAGAGGCAGAGATGTGCAGAGACCAGGAGTTTCTACAAAAGTGAGTTGTCACGGTGTGTGACCTACCCGAGACCTTAACAAAGTCAGCAGACAGCGAGATACCCGTGCGTCCACGTTCACGGCAGCTGAACTCCGTCTTGGGGCTGCAGAGATGGCTCAGGGTAAGAGTGCCTGCCAGCCTCAAACTCATCATCCTCCTGCCTCATGCCTCCTGAGTACCAGGGCTACAGGCATGGGTCTGTACTCAGAAGTAGTGCAGCTGTATCATAGAGTAGTTTTTTTTAAGGACCCTTCATACATACTGATAAAGAAAATGTGTAGATAAGATCTACTACTACCATGTATCTGTTGACAGGCACCCAGGTTGATCCTGTGACCTGGGTCATGAACTGCCACAGCATTTTTTTTTCTTTCTTTTTTTCCATCCTTCTCTCATACAGTGCATCCTGACTGTCGTTTTCCCACCCTCCACTCCTCCCAGTCCCCCTTTCTCTCTCCCCAGATCCACTCCTCCTCTGTTTCCCTTCAGAGAAGAGCAGGCCTCCCAGGGACAGCAACCTAACATGGCAGAACAAGATACGATAAGACTAGGCACATATCTTCATATCAAGGCTGGATAAGGCATTCTCGTAGGAGGAAAGGGGTCCTAAGAGCAGGCAAAAGAGTCAGAGACACCCCAACTCCCACTGTGAGGAGTCTAGCAAAAACACCAAGCTAACAACCATAACACATATGCAGAGGACCTAACACAGACCCATGCAGGCTCTGTGATCGCTGCTTCAGTCTCTGTGAGCCCCCATGAGCCCTGATTAGTTGATTCTGTGGGCCGTGTCCTCCTGGTGTCCTCGACCCCTCTGACTCCCACAATTCTTCCTCCTGCTCTTCCACAGGGTCCCCTGCATTCCGAGGGGAGGGATTCCCATGGAGACCTCCAATTTGGGGTGCTCGCTCCCCCCCCCTGCCTAACATTTGGCTGAGGTCTCTTCATCTGCTCCCATCAGCTGCCAGAGGAAACCTCTCTGATGACAGCTGGGCTAGGCACCGATCTACTAGCAATTATTTTTTAAGTAGAGTTGTCCAGACTAGCCAGATGGTCAAAGTGCTTGCCACCTGATGATCTGAGTTCCATCCCCAGGACTCTCGTGGTAGATGGGGAGAACTGACTCCCAACAAGTTACCCTCTGACCTCCATGTGCACGCATGGCATGGACGCGTCCACACATAATCAATGAATAAATAAAGAAAGAAATGTTGAAGGCGGTTTGGCCATTTAGACCAGGCTGGCCTTGAACTTCTGATCTTCCTTCTTCTACCAATTACGTGCTGGGATTCCAGGTCTGTGCTACCATGCCTGGTTTTATGAGGGGCTGGGGAATCAAACGTGGGGCTTCATGTATGCTAGGCTAGCACGCTACCACTGAACTACACCTTCAGCCCAATTTGTTTCATTACTATAAATCAATCTAGTTTTTACATTTTTTATTCTTAATTGTGTGTGTGTGTGTGTGTGTGTGTGTGTGTGTGTGTGTGTGTGTGTGTGTTTGTGGGTTTCTGTAGATGAGTGCCTACAGAGGCCAGAGGAAGGTGTCCAAATCCCCCTGGAGCTGGAGTTTCAGGTGATTGTGAGACACCCTATGTGGGTTCTGGGAACTGAACTCATCTTCTGCAAGAGCAGCTTCGCTGAGCCATCTCCCCAGCCCCTTTTCAAACCAGAACACACATTGTGCTTATTCCGTATGACTGCACAACGCCTAAAGGAAAGACAAAGTTTTTACAATTACTTTAGCTGAAAAATTGAAGTGATTTTCCCCTACTTTTATAATTTTTTTTTTTAGTTCATTTGAGCTGTTGCACTCAAGCTGCTCTTAGCGTATAAGGCATCAGATGTCATTATGGTCAGTGTGTACGGCACGATTGTGTTGTGATATCAATTCACTGTGGGATGCTGAAGTCAAGATAATCAACATATCATAACAGGATGGGGGTTATGAGGGGGAAGGAGAGAAGCTACTCAAATACACTTTGTTCAGTAAGGGTGGGGGGGATGGAGTGGTGGCTCAGAGGTTAAGGGCATTGGCTGCTCTTGAGTGGACCCAAGTTTGGCTCCCAGAACCCACATCTGGAGTCACACAATTGCTTTTAACTCCAGTTCTGGGGATGGGAGCCCCTCTTCTGGCTTCCACAGACACCTGTACTCACCCAGTTCATATAAGCTAGTGCAGGCACATACATATACACATAAATTAAGTTTTAATGACATAATGATGTATAATACCTTGTATGCTAATAGCTAGGCATTATTCATAATAGCCAAGAAGTGGAATTAACCTAGATATCCATCAGTAGGTGGGTGGATAAATAAAGTGGGGTACATACACATAACGGAATGGTATTTGGCCATTACAGAGAAAAACATCTTGTTATTGCCAGCAACATGGATGGTTAATAGAAAACATGGTACTCAAGGGAGTATAATAGGCACAGAAAGACAAACACTGCATGCCACCAAGACAGCTGGACTCAGGAGCAGACTGTAGTTAGCAGAGGCTGAGGAGAAAGGAATTTGAAGGCAGAAGGTATAACGTTTCAAGGAAGTAGGAGGTCTGTTGCACAAGGAAGCAACCATATCTAGGTATAATTCAGTCTGGCAGGATGGCTGAATGGGTAAAGGCGCTTGCTGTCAAGCCTGATGATCTGAGTTCAATCCCTGGGTCTCACAAGGTGGAAGGGGAGACTCAAATCCCACAAACTCTCCTCTGACACACACACACCCATGCATGCACACACACATATGCACAAGCACGCACATATACACATGCACACAAACACAAACATGCCAAATAAATGTAAATCTTTAAAAATTAGGAATAGTTTATTGTAGGGGCCATGGAAATGGCTCAATCTGTGTAGTGTTCCCTGTGCAAGCCTGAGGACCTGAGTCCAATCCCCACATCCCATGGATCAAAAACAAGGAGGTTGTGAGTGCCAAGACAGTCAGAGACACTATCATTAAAAAGAAAAAAACTGGGGGCTGGAAAGACAGCTCAGTGGTTAAGAGCACTTACTGTTCTTGTAGAGGTCCTGGGTTCAGTTCCCATCACCCATGTGGCAGATCACAACCACCCATGACTCCAGTTCCAGGGCATTTCACTCCCTCTTCTGGCCTCCCTGGGCACCACACAGAGTACACAGACACGCATGCAGGCAGGCAGAATACACTCATACACATAAAATTAAATAAATTCAGGGCTGGAGAGACGGCTCAGTGGTTAAGAGAACTGGCCGCTCTTCCAGAGGACCTGGGTTCAATTCCCAGCACTGACATGGCAGCTCACCTGTCTGTCACTCCAAGTCCAGGGGATCTAACACCTTCACACCAATGCACATAAGATAATGATTAAAATAAACAAATTGTTAAAATAAATAAATAAATAAACAGTACCTGGGAAATAACACCCAAGGTTGATCGCTGGCCTCTACATGCACATTCATGTACACACACACACATACATCCCAGGACTCAGGAGGCAGAGGCAGGCAGATCTCTGAATTCAAGACCATCTCTACTGAGTGAGTTCCAGGACAGTCAGGGCTACACAGAGAAACCCTATCCTGAAACCTCCACCACCTCAAAAAAAGATTTCAAAAGTTGCTCAAGATAAATGTCAAATTCACCCTCCAAAACCTAAGTATTCAAAGATGATATTTAGCTTCACGTAGTCATTCCACAAGGAATATATTTAATGTCATTTTGTACTCCGTACATACACAGAATTATGACTGGTCGTCTTGTAGTGAAATTTAAAAAAAAAAAAATTAAATGCCAAGTATTACTTCCAGGCTAAATCTTTAAAAGGCAAAGACCCTGAATACACCCAGTGGGGGTTGTGCAGATCCCAGGTTCTGCACGTAAGAATGAGTCTTGGAGGGTTGAGGATTTAGCTCAGTGGTAGAGCGCTTGCCTAGCAAGCGCAAGGCCCTGGGTTCGGTCCTCAGTTCAGAAAAAAAAAAAAAAAAAAGAATGAGTCTTGGTCTGGAGAGATGGATGAGTGGTTATGAGCCCTGGGTGTGGCAGAGGACTTGAGCACCCAAATTAGACAACTCAAAAGAGCCTGGTGCAACTCCAAGGGATCCCAGGCCCTCTTCTGGCCTCCATACATACACACATCAGTTTAAAAAAAAATTAAATCTTAAAAATAATGAGAGTACAATCTAGTGGGGAGTGGGGGTGGGGAGTAGATGAGCCTTCCCTTGCGCAGCTGCTGGCCGAGGTGGATGGGTGCCAGTGCTTGCCCAGCGTTTGCCCGCGCAGCTGTTCCGGATCTACCTGGGAAGGACCAGTCAGAACTGGCAGCCAATGGGCACTAAGCACGTGCTAGCCTGAGACTCCTCAAAGGCTGTCACCTCACAGGTGTGGAGTGGAGACAGCGCTGGCTCTCTTTCCGCGGTGGTTGCCCGTTTGCGGAGAGTAGGTTCTGCGCTTGAAGGTGAGCTCTTGGGTAACTTCTTAGCCCCAGTCGGGTCTCTGGGTTGGCTTCTTCTCTTTCAGGCCAGTTAACATGCATGAACCCTCCTCTCTTCTGTCTTTGGAACCGGGAAAGCCAAGGGGCCAAAGGATCTCACGGGGGGAAAAAGATAATGTCACCCCAAGTTTTTCAAAATATTAACCTGGACAGTGGGGGCATTTAGGAAGGTCCCTTCCCA